TATATAAAGCGATATATGTGTATTTCAGCACTTGCGAGAATTTCGCGAATATCGATATAGACATCTGATGGCGAGTCGACGTAGTAATATTCTTCGCAATATTTAAGTAATATACATGTTCACTCTCCCCCTTAACTTACCCTCTAAGTCCCCCCTCCCAAAATTGCGCGCCGAACTACAATCGGTCTTAAAACGCAACTGTAATAATTTGAAAATAACGTCCCCTTAATTATTTTTCACGCATTATTAGACTAGCATACAACACATTAAATTAAATTAATATCCGCTCAAATAAATTTTCAAATTAAACTTAATATACCTCCCAAGAACAAATTGAGCTGTACTAGTTGTTAGAAATATATATAAATTTATTATAATAACACCGGTATACAGGGTGATTCAGAACGACCCCGTGTCCTTGCAAAGACGTGTTCCTGACTGAATTTTGAGACGACTTTTCCTTTACGAAAATTTTATCTGACGCTTACTTTTTGAATTATTAAAAGATAAAGTCAGCGAATTACGATCTGCGAACAGAAGGTAAGCAGGGGCGGCGCACTCACTGCCCGACGCGAACGAACGCAAGAGGCACTCATTGCGATCAAGGACATAGAGTTATTTTTTAATTTAAATTAATTTGTTTTCACGACACACACACACGCGCTCTCTCTCTCTCTCTCTCTGTCGCTTACCTTACAGAGATTAGTTATCTTTATACTGCTTTAATATGACGAATAACTTTCACAATCGGAAGAACTGGGAAAGCAATACGAAGACCCTTGTGACAAACTAATATCAAGTATAATAAAACAGGAATTCGTTTTTCTTTTAAAAATATGTAGTATCTAAAACACTTTTACTAGTTGTAACACTTTCATTGATTTACTAACGCATTTAATCGATAATTGTCGACACCACACGGAACGATTTACGAACGATTCTATCGATTTATCGTTATCAATGAATACTGCTGTTCATGTCGATTCGTAAAAACATAACCTCTTTGATTGTTGTCATCGAGCTCAGTCTTCACATCGGATTATGTCGGGTTGTGAATGTAACGCGTTTCTCAAAGTGATTTAAAAATGAATAATTAACCGCTATTCATTTATAACGATAAATCGATAGAATCTTTCGTAAATTGTTCCGTGTGGTGTCAACAAATGTCGATTAAATGCGTTATTAAATTAATGAAAGTGTTACAACTAGTGAAAGTGTTTTAGATACTACATATTTTTAAAAGGAAGACGAATTTCTGTTTTGTTACTTGATATTAGTTTGTTACAAGAGTCTTCGTATTGCTTTTCCAGTTTTTCTGATTGTGAAAGTTATTCGTCAAGTTAAAGCAGTATAAAAATAACTAATCTCTGCAAGGTGAGAGAGAGAGAGAGAGAGAGAGGGAGAGAGAGGGAGGGAAGGAGAGAGGAGGAGAGGAATGGAGGGATGGAGGGAGAGAGAGGGAGAGAGGGGGAGAGGAATGGAGGAATGGAGGGAGGGAGGGAGGGAGGGAG